ACAGGAGGGAAGGAAGAGATATGATCTGCGAAACCGTGCTGAAGTACGTAGGATGCCTACAGAAGAAATTAACAAGCAACAACAACCTAGATCTCCTCGAAGAGTGTTGCATCAAGGCATGGGCACCAGGGCTGGAAGGGATATTAGGAGAGGTGGGTCTCGGCTTCACAAGCGCCATCGCTTTACAAGAACAGATGATTCAGATGATTCTCTTCTTGTGGATGAGTTGGACCAGGGCCCTGCAATTCCCTGGGCTCGAGGTGGAAACAGATCTGGACCACCTTGGCTATTTGGGGGTATGGACACATACGGGTCAAGTTCAATGGGGTTGAATGTTGGAGCCTCTGGTTGGGGTCACCAGAGTGATGGTTTAGCAGCGTTAACTTCCGGGGTTCAGACTGCTGGGCCAAGCTCTAAAGGAGGTGCAGATATTCAGCCACTGCAGATTAATGAGAATATAAATTTTGATGACATTGGCGGGCTGTCCGGATACATTAATGATTTGAAGGAAATGGTTTTCTTTCCGTTGCTGTACCCAGAGTTCTTTGCAAGTTACAACATTACTCCTCCCAGAGGTGTACTGCTGTGTGGTCCTCCAGGCACTGGTAAAACACTGATTGCTCGAGCATTGGCATGTGCTGCTTCCAAAGCTGGACAGAAAGTTAGCTTTTATATGCGAAAGGGTGCTGATGTCCTTAGCAAGTGGGTTGGTGAGGCTGAGAGACAACTAAAGCTTCTCTTTGAAGAGGCTCAGCGAAATCAGCCTTCGATAATCTTTTTTGATGAAATTGATGGTCTTGCTCCTGTAAGATCTAGCAAACAAGAACAAATACATAATTCTATTGTTTCAACTTTACTGGCGCTGATGGATGGCCTTGATTCTCGTGGTCAAGTTGTTCTCATTGGAGCAACGAACAGAGTAGATGCAATAGATGGAGCATTACGCCGTCCTGGCAGGTTCGATCGAGAATTCAATTTTTCTTTACCAGGCTGCGAAGCACGAGCTGAAATATTGGATATTCACACTCGTAAATGGAAGAATCCTCCTACTAGGGAGCTGAAAGAGGAACTGGCAGCTAGTTGTGTAGGGTATTGTGGTGCTGATCTAAAAGCTTTGTGCACTGAAGCTGCCATTCGTGCTTTTCGTGAGAAATATCCACAAGTTTATACCAGTGATGATAAATATGCCATAGATGTTGGGTTGGTTAAGGTTGAGAAGAGCCACTTTGTAGAGGCAATGTCAGCTATTACTCCTGCTGCCCATAGAGGATCTGTTGTGCAGTCCAGACCACTCTCTCCGGTTGTATTCCCATGTTTACATCGACACCTCCTTGAGTCCATGAGTTTAATATCAGATATTTTTCCATCGTCAGCCATGTCATCGGAGTTAACCAAGCTGTCAATGCTTTCATTTGGTTCCGCAATTCCTCTCGTTTATCGTCCTCGACTTCTGTTGCTTGGTGGTGAAGGAGTCGGACTGGTAATTGCTTGTCGTTTCTTGTGATTTTGTCAGAAGGTTTCCTTATTATGAACTGAATTCACTTACTTGTTAGCCGAACAGGATCATCTTGGGCCTGCTATCTTACATGAGCTAGAAAAATTTCCTATTCATTCTCTGGGACTTCCGTCTCTTCTTTCGGATCCTGGTGCAAAAACCCCGGAGGAGGCGTTAGTACATATATTTAGTGAAGCTAGGAGAACCACACCTTCAATACTTTACATACCAATGTTTAATAATTGGTGGGAAAATGTAAGTGTGTATTTCTTACTTTCCAAATTCATTTTGCTGCAGTTACTTTGGGAGATCATGTTTGCATGTTTGCTTAATATAATTTAGTAGGTTGTCCTGTTGGCTGTAGCAGGAACTGCCTTGAGTTTTAAGTTGCCAGTCTAATGATCTTAATACTGATGACTGCAGGCGCATGAACAGCTTAGAGCTGTATTTCTGACTCTGTTAGAAGAATTGCCATCAAATCTGCCCATATTATTACTTGCTACATCTTATGGTGAATTGTCTGACATGGAAGAGCAGTCAGTATTTGACAATCGATCTGTGTAAGTTTATGCTCGACCTTGTAATCACTTTATCCAGTACCATACTACAGCTTTACTCTTACCTTTTCCAGAATAGCTGGTAGGTGGCTTTCTTATGTTATGGGCCAATTTTTTTTGAATAGGTTCTCAGTATAATATGAAGC